CATGTGTAAAGACTTGGGGCATCAAATGTAAATGACCAAGGTGTTAATAAGGACCAGTTCAAGGTGCCTTGAATGGCATATAGAGAAATTTGCATTTTTTCTTGTATATATTTGGAATTCATGTGTAAGTTTTAGCAGGGAAATAAATAATCAGTTTGGATTTTAAAAAGATCATTGTGGTAGCAGAATGGAATACATACTAGAAAGATGTGAGGTTTGTTCATTTTTTTCAAAACTGTGTTCCTGAGGCCACCTCCCTATGATGTCTTTTGTCTACCTTAATGCCCTTTTTCATCCTTCTTAGGAAAAATCAATTATCCATTATTGATATACACTATTTCATAGCACCTATTACAGTGTTGTTGTTTTTTTAAATTTATACATCAAGTTCTCTTTGGCCAGCCTCTGTGCTTCTAGAAGGCTTCAAATGTTTATTTTTCTTTAAAAAAACAATATTTTAAAGGTCATTGTTTTAAAGGAAATTTGAGAACCATTTATGGAGAACCTGTCCCATATATATGCAGATGGAATATCGAAAGTGCTCCACATGTCTTCATGATGTGCATTTGAGAGACCAAAATCCTTCACAGTTTTGATGATCCATCTATATCAGATATTTGAATTCATCCACCCCAGAAAGTTAGTTCTCAGTAACAAACATTAATGATAGTTATTTATTATCTTTTATATTTAACAAACATTTTATTGGACTCCTACCAGATTCTCAGTAAAGCATTAGAATTATCTTTGTTAGCAGAGAGAAACCAAACTAAATTTGATTTAGTGTTGAAAGCATCAACTAGTATATAGGCTTGGAGGATGATTCACATTATTTCCAACTGAGGTAAAAAGGAGAGAAAAGGTGTTTTAAATTTCTGAAATTTCTAAAGACTCTGGATATATTGGTAAATGATGAGAAATAGGAGGACTGTTAGGGGGAGGTAAAGTTCCCAGAAGCACTTAATCTGCTGAAAGATCATTTGGCTTTGCTGGATTCTACGATTGCATCATAGCTTCTCAGGAGACAATGTGCCTGAGTGGGTGCCCTGTGTGGAGCATGTAAGTTATAATAGTTGCCATGTAGCTTTGGACAATTTATTTAGCTCACTTATGATTCCAGGGATCTTCCATAAAGTTGGGTCATTAGGGAAGACTGATCGCACTGTAAGCAAAGTTGAGGTATTAGAAGAGGATAGAAGATAGCTGCTTTTTAAAAGGGAATGGATGAAAATATTGAAGAAAAGTTGGTAAGAGTCATGTGGGAGTGACAACCTTTTCTTATTTTTGCAGGATCTTATACTTAGGGGGAGGAGGAATTGTGTGAGTTCAAGTAGTAATTTAGAGATAGCTTCATTAACTCTATTTTTCCCTAGAAGAAGTATGTTTAATTTATACTTTGAAAACAGTAAGAATGAAGAATATGAAATGTTACAAGTATGTAAAAATAGATATTTCAGTTCTACATGATGTCCAGTCAAGTCAGAAGAAGACAAACAATGCAATGCAGCAAATATTGATTGAGATAAGAAAGGATGAAATGTGGGGGGAAATGAGGAAGACTGGTTACTTATGCTGCCTTTATGACCTGTTCCCCTTTCTTTTCTCCACTGCCTCAAAATCTCCTTTCTAGATTCACAAATCCCAATCTTACCAGCCTTATTCCCCATGGATTTCGGTATTCTGGTTCTATTCATATAGTTGGGCATGCCAGCTTTTAAGAGCCTTGTAAGTTCAGCGCCTTTCTCCCTTTGGGGGAGATCGGGACTAAAGAACTTACTCAGGAATTCTCAGGAGGGCACAGACTTATCTCGATCAGTTGGTTCACCACAGATATTTTTAGATACTTGCTCTGAGCTGGACAGAATTCAGTCATGTACCTTTCTCCCTTTCTTCCTAAGAGTTAGTCTATTAAATTTATTAATCATTTTTGGGATGGTGTTCCTGTGTTTAACAACAGCTTTCATATACTCTGTAGGATATGTCTGACCAGTGATTGATGCTTCATATAAAATACTTGAACTAGCTCAGAGAAGTAGATAGTATTATAAAGATCAAGACCCCAAAGGCTCTAAGAATTAAGTAATTTTACAGTCACACTACTGGTGAGGGGCAGAGCCAAGGTTACATAGCTTCTTAAATATGTACACACACCCGTGCCACCTTACGCCCCCCCCACACACACACCATTGCTTGAGCAAATGATGGAAGTGGTTGAATAAAACCTTTGGGTATAGAGTAATTTGACCTCGGTGGTGAATTGGAAGGGTTTTAGATGTGGTCTGAATAATTCCTTCTCTGAAGTAAACCACAATAACAGTTCCTTTTTGGTTTTTCTGCCAACTGTGACTCCCTGGTTACTTCCTTTTCCAGCAGTTGGATTTAAGTGACCGATATAAGGTGACTTAAGAGTTTAAGAGTAGATTATAATGTTAGGATTTACAGTCTAAAAAGTAAATGTTCTCTTGCTTACTCCCCGAGGGATCCCTAGACTATGGTTCTGAGAGCCAAGATATGTGATTTTTTTCATGAGAGAGTATAGACATTGGTATATGAAGGGAAATTTACCATTGTATGCCAGTAAATGCCAGATCATTTTAGAAAGTGGAATTCTTATTCAAAGCAAGTGTTTGACTCAAATTTAAGGTTTACTTGAGCTTTCTTTCAAATGCTTGTGGTTTTTTAAGTAATTATATTTTTTCAATTGAAGAAGTTGGTTTGTTCTGTTGGAAATGGGAGGAAAAGGTAAATTGCAGTAGAAAAGAATAGGGTTCCCCAAGTGGTGTGGTAACAGGGAGTGCCATTGTTTTAACGGAATATTTTCATACAAATGCAAGAGACTTCTTTCTTTACTGGAAACCAAATTTTAGCAACCAGATGTTGAAAAAGAGTTTTGTGCCATTTTAAAATTGATTTAACTAAATCTTCTAAGTCTTATATAGTCTTCAGCTCCTCTCTGATGACACCCTTAACTTGCCTTACATTGTATCATCAGGAGGATGCATGTCTAGACCTTCATAAATGTGAAGTAACTTTTTTGAAGGCAAACATGAAACAGGGAGGCACTGGCTAGTGGGTATGTTAATATGCCTAACTAGGAAGTCCTCAAGATATTAGGTCATTTGAGGAATTAAACTGGAATGTACTATCAGTACTGAGGGACATCTGTCAGAGGAACTCCAGGAAGAAATAGCTGAAGTTGTAGTAAAATTATATAATTTATTGGTTTTTTATGTAACTATCATATTCCATGCCTGGAAATTGGCCAATATTGTACCATCTTTTACAGGAATGTAAAAAGAGAAAGATTGATTTCTGAAGTTATAAGACATTGACCCTTGACTCAATTCCAGAAATAAATAATAGAAAATGGATGCGAGACAAGCTTTTAGAGTCACCATCTCTCTGAACACAGGCAGGAGCCTCCGGCCATAAGCCAGAGTGGGGGAGTCTTCCTCACCAGGGTCTTTACTTTCATTTTGAAAACTCAAAAATAAATTGGAGGATAATGTGGGAATCATTAAATATATTCAATAAGATGTCATGAAAACTGTTCTAGGGCAAAAAGAAACAAACAATTGGGGAAAATGGGATAAAGGAGTAAAATTCTGATCTTGGTATTAAAATCTAGTTAGTGGGTATGAGGCAAAGGGCAGAAATAAATAACCAAGTTTATACAGAAATAAACTAACACGATGTTCTTGCATGTAATAGAAGAAGCAGCAATTGTAGAGTGTTAACCACTTACATGGAAGAGCAGAATAACCCTGCTTGGGGTGGGGGGAGGGTGGCGGGGGAATGGCATATGAATTTTCTGTTTAAATAAAAGTGGAGTCCTCTCTTGGCTTGGGGACCAAGGTTTCCGGGTAGAGACTTGTCTGTGGCCACCCTTCACATTTTGTTGAAATTCACCGTCAAGTTCAAAATTGCCTTTTCTAGGCAAGCAGAGAAGGCTGCTGAATCTGAGCCATCCATTCCTCCAGCATTTACTGAAAGCCTAGTGCATTCACAGCCATGAACGGCACTCTGAGGAGGACACAAAAGAAGTAGACATAATCTCTGCCTCTGCTTAGGAGCATGCAATTTAGTTGGGGAGACAAAACTTAAATACTAGAACCAATAAAAGAAGATTACAAAGCAACCTGTGAGTAAGTGTATAATAATATGGGGCAGATGACACAGATAAATGCAGAGGGGACATGAGGGAAAGAGGAGTGAACAAAACACAACAATGCAGGATTAGTTAGGAAAGGCATGTTGCCTAACAGTAGTGTTGCCTCCATGTCCCTCTCTATAGCATTGATGAGGAATAATGTGGAATAGGAAATTCACATACTACATTGATCTCTTCCTCCTTATCTGCAGAGTCTGTCTGTCTATCACAGATGGAAATTAAATTGATCCAACAATTTGCTCTCCACAAAGCCATGTTGGTTTCTACCTAGTAATTTATGCTTTTCTTGGTGTTTGCAAATCGATTGCTATTATGGGATGCAGACAAATCTGGGCCTGGATCCAGTAGGTTGGGGGGATTATTGGAGTGGATATGTGTGTCTGCACATGAAATCCTGGAAAAAAGGACCTTAATTTCTGTGTATTCTGCTTATTGAATAAAAGCATTTTCAGGTTTTTTTTTTTTAATTATACTCAGATTGTATTTTTAGTGGACGGGTATGTTATATTTCACGTTGCCTTGAGCAGGTCCAGCTGTCAGATCACCTTCAGTGGCTTTGTAACCACACCTCTTGTTTCAAAAAGCCTCGCATTAGCCCAACAATATTATCCATTTCTCCTTTTTCCCCACTAATGACTGAGAAATATGTATAGGCCTTCGTTTAGTTTGATAAACAAAATGTCACTATTGAAAGGCTTGGGAAAGTATACTTTATTTAAACACTCAGCGTCATCATTGTACCTTTAAAAAATTGTTAAGTCCTTCTGAAGATTGTGAAATTCTTTCAAAACAAATTCAAAAGAAAACATTTTCTGTGATTTCTTTACAGATTCTGGACAATCAGGAAGTCCAAGCCACAATGATCCTGCCAAGAATCCTCCAGGTAAATATGTGTTCCAGGACGTTTGCAATCTGACATTGTTGGAGAACAAAGGTGCCACTGTATAGATAAACATCCCATAATTGGTCAGCTGCCTATTTTGTTCTGGCAGGCAGGTACAATCGGGACAAGATGTGATTCTGTTTAGGCCTTCACAGTGGCAAATACTTCTATATTCACGTCATCAGTATTTTCCCAATCAACAACGTTTTAATTCTTGTTGATGTTTCTTTGAAAACCAATATGCATGTATTTCAGTTGTGTATCTTTCCATTGCTAAAAGTCCTTGCTGTTTGAAAAGCCAAAAAACCTTTTCACCTTTCTTTTAAAGCTCACCAGGAAAAGTAAAATTTTCTTTTTTTTACTTCCTTACTCTCATTATAGTTTATCAAATCTCATTACTTTAAAAGGGAGGTTGTAGTGCTGGTTGGTTATATTTTCCATGAAACACTTTTAAAAACAGGTTTTTGTTCCATAAGGTTTTTATTGGATTCCCAGAATTCAGGAAGTAATGAAAGTAGGACTTTTCCTTTTGTATAATGTATGCCAGATACTGGTATCTCTTTATTTTCAGAAGTTATTCCAGATCTGAAAATGGACTTTTATAATTTCAACTTGGTTTGGTTCAAGTTGAACCAAAATTCAAATCTAGACATAGAGAAGTTTGTTGTAGAATCAGCGATAGTGTCTTCCTCTGAGACAAAATTAGTACAAATGCTAATTTCTGATATTTCATTATCATAAAAATTTTCATTATATTTGTGACTTTCATAAAAGTGTACTCTAAGAATAAAATAACAAAACAAAGAAATCCAAACCAGCCATATATGCCCTTGACCTCCCGCATAATGTTATCTGCCTTTTCACTGAAAATAAACTGGAAAGTTGATTAAAAAACATTATAATGATTTCTCTGGTCAACTAGGTTTTAGGTTTTTAATTGTCTGATTTTCCTTACTATGATGCTTTGATAACATGAGGTTGAAATACTTGGAGCATCCCCAAGCAACAAGAAAATGTCAGATCAGTGTTGTTTTAAAATATTAGGAAGATAAAACAAAGAGATGTGCAAATAAAAATGCAAAGTCAAAACCAAATACATTTTTTTGAATTTTGAGTCTTCCCTATATTTTGTTCTTATTTTTTATCTTAGAAAACTTAACTTTTTTTCCCACGTACATGCTAATACATTCTGTATTATGAAAAATTATATTGTTTGACCAAAATAGCACATACTTCAAATGAAATTTTTTACACATGTTTACATTTATATATTTTAAAATCCATGCTGTTTATTTTTAGCAAAATCATTTACTATTAGCACAAGCTGATAACAAAATATTTTAAAAGCTGAACAATTTTAAATCTGTTTCCCAGTAAAATTAATTTATTTTTGGTATGGTTTGGGAGATTAGAATCATGTTGGTTATCTTTTCAAAAAGACAACATTTAGAATGTAATAAAAATTTATGGAGAAACTTTGAAGTCGAGAAAATTTTATTAGCTTATAGTATCTTAACTTTACTAAAATTTCTTCTTGTTGTTGACTATTTTCTTTGCATAGTATGATAACCAAAAGTGAATTGTATCCAAATATGTTTTGGAAGTTTCTCGGTTATTTCACAAAGAATGGAGGAGAGGAGGCCTTTAGTAGGAAAAGAGCTGACAAGTAAAAATCTAAGTTAGACCAAGTAATCTAAGTTAGACTAAGCAAAGGATATATTCTTTCATTTAAATGACAACTTGATTTGAAATTAACTATGTTGTTGTTGTTCAAAATGCATTTCTGATCAGATATAGGAAGAATTTTGCTCACTTAAAATGTCCTTTATTTGAGCTTGACTGAATAGTTTTTAATATTTGTAAAGAAACTTGGTTAATATTTTCATTGGCTACGTTTAGTATAGCATCTCCTATCTAATCCATGCATAATATGATGAACAGAAACATTCAAGGTAAAACACCTCTAATTTTTTCCCGTTTAAATTTTCCTTAGAAATCAAACTTTTGTGAAAAGTATGTTTTAAAAATGGAATGTTGTAGATAAGTGCATATTATGATTTTTTGATTATTATATGTACGTAGATTGTACATTGAGTACCAATTTTTTTCAGAATTAGAATAAAATGAAATATACATAGGGCCTCCCTGGTGGCACAGTGGTTGAGCACTGGACTGCGAAGCTGCCTGCAGCCTCTGCAGCGCTGGTTCGATCACCAGTCGCTGGCAAGGGTCCCACATGGCTTGCAGACCTCTCCTGCCACCCACTGCTCCCCTCAGCAGTGTACTTAGTCAGTTTGCCTGCTCTGCTCTCCCCTCTGTCTCTGGTGAATTCTCTTACCCTCCCGTACTTCTCACTGTACCCAGTGCTTGCATAAATAAACAAACAAATAAATAAACAAACAAACAAACAAACAAACAAACAAACAAATAAACAAGTAAGTAAGTAAGTAAATAAATAAATAAATCTTTTTAAAAAATGTTTAAAAAATGAAATATATGTATATAATACCAAAATGGGCATGATTTGAATTTTCTTTGATGATTCAAAAACTTCTTTGGTTTTAGCTTGCTTTGTTTACCATTATATATATGAACTTAACCATAGAGATTATAAGGAATTCGGCTTGATGAAGGTAGAATTTTGTTCTGTAATACATTGGAATAAATCAGGTCACTAGGAATGTAGAATATTTTCTAATTTGAAATGTGAAAAATCAGAGGTTATTAAGGTTTCCATTTGTAGTCAATTGGGATAAATTATGTCTATTATTAAAATCTCTTTTCATAAGTATAAACAGACTTGACATTTTAGAGCATATTTTACTTTTAGAAGTCTCTTTTTATCTGTGCATTTTGGCCTTGACTGAAATGGGAAATCACCAAAGTTTAGATTCAGTATCTCTAGACAGCACAATTCATTTATGGAAGAATTTGTTCTAGTACCATAAACAATGAAACAATCAATTCACTTTGCTGCTTATACTGTTACATGAAAGAGAAGCTAAACTTTTGGGAAAAAAAAGATGAATGCCAACATTTTATCACTAGTAGTTTTCCATTGGGAGATGTACAGCCCATGGAAATTGCTACCATCTACTCCAGGGTTTATTTCTTAAGAGCTTGGAAAGAGATGGGAACAATTCAGGTTCTTTTGGAGAGAAAGGCTCTTTGAAATCTGCTCCCCACTGTTGACAAGGAGGGTGGAATGCCATCCAGAGCCATCTATAAGTATAGATGCATGTGTTTTCCCATAAATTTGAACAGTCCCCCGGGCTTGGCTTTTCTCCAGCTTTGGCTAAGACATCAGACATAGAGACTTCTTCCATGCTGATTCAGAAGTACATTTGAAGGATAACCATAAAGCTCTCGAAACTAGTATGGCTATGTATAGATAAACCATCATTTTTTAAACTGTGTGTCTTGATTGAGATGAGTACTTAGTGAGGAAAAGTACTAAATACAAGCAAACAAAAGCAACACCTCTTTGAGAGGAGAGATATTTGTTAGTTTTGAAAGCATTCTAGTAGACTTTATTCTTTTAAAAAGCATTTTGATCACCCCTATGATAATTCATTATATTATTCATGATTTATTTTTATTTTTTTTTTACTTTGTTGCATCACAGGGATGGACACTATAATCTTATGAGGATTAACATATTCTAAATGTCAGATAACACTAAAGAACATGATTTAATTTTGGTCAAGAAGTACAAGATCACTTCATTTTTTCAGGATGTGCTTCACCCTTATTTGTGATAGATCAGGAGTTATATGTTTATATTCAGTTTCACTTTTCAAAAAATATTAAATTAGTTCCTTCTAATGAGTAGAACTACAAAAGTCCTTTCTCAACTATAGCAAATATTTATTATGAGCCAAAGAAAGGCAAAGTATAAATTTAGGGACTTAAATTCAGATCAGATTTTATTTCTTCTCCCACTTTTAGCAAATGTGGTATCAAATTGCAATCTTTTAAAATTAACTTTGACTTGTTGTTTTGTCTCTATATTCCTTGGCCTATGATCATTTAGATTTTCCAGTCTTAATTCCATAATGCCAGACTAGTTAATCCAAGGAAAACAAGGCAATCTAGGGGTCTGATTTTGCCTCTTAGTCTGTCAGAAGCTTATGTCTCAGTTTGTAGCATAGGAAGTCTGCAGTGTTGTGGGGAACTTTCTCTTGGCTGGGAATGTAACAAAGGCATGCTGAATAATAGGACATTATTTTGTAAATTTGCCTTGAAAACTTATCAACCATTAACCAAAGTCTTCTTACCTAAGAATGACATAGTCTTAACATCCTACTTTTCATTATTGCAAGTTTTATAGGGTGCATATGCTATTTTGTGGTTGGCTTGTTGTAGGTAGTCTGGCAAACCTCTGGGAAGCATTGGGATCATGCACTGGGTATACTTTGAATCAGACACCTTATACCCTTTTTGGAACAAAGATGTTACTAAACAGTTGAATAAGTATAACAGGAGACATCTTTTGACTATAGTAATATGCTTATCTTGCATTTAAGAAATACTTTAAATCATAAAAATTTTGAGGTTGGTCTCTCCCCAATTCTATTTTATAGACACTATGAGTGAAGTCAGTAGAGGATTGTCATTTAAAAAAATAAGCAAAAAGCTATAAGAAAACTAGTTCAGCATCAGCAGTTTTGGGTTGTCAATGTTGGGATCAGTAGGGCATATATTTCCTTGACTTTTCAGTTTGATTTTTTTCCAAACTTAGAATTTGGGACAAATTTAATACTTTCTAATAGTTATAGAAATAAAACATTTCTCTTTGCTATTTGCACATGAAGGCAGATAAATCTGCATAGACCCTAAAAGACCTCATGGAGCAGATTTTTCCTTAGAATATGGTGTTCAAAGTCAAAGAAAAGTTACTCTGATTTTTTTTTAACATAGCCCATCCACTCCTCAATAAGTTCATATCCACTTTTTCCTTGTATCCTCATTTATTGTATCCACCAGAATCAAGAAGTTTT